AGCGGGAAGCGCCGCTGTGTCCCATGCGCTCGCGGGCCCCGGTGCTAACTGTTGCCTTCGGCTTTACTCGCAGGGCGCTGCAAAGGCAGAGGGCGCAGGGCCTCCCGGGGAGCTGGCGCGGCGGGGTCAGGCACGCCATGAGGGCCGTTGCCTGGTTTGCTCTGCCATGCCTGAGCCTCTGGCAGGTGGGAATGGTAAGTCCTTAAAGTAACTGTTCCTCACTGGTTTAAAAATACATATATATATATATACTTTTTAAAAAGAGTTAGTCTTGCTTCTGCAACGCTTTGTCAGGTTGGTGTCCCTGGAGGCTTCACAGACGTGTAGGTTCGACCACTAGCCTAGATACTGTGGAGCTGACATCAGAGAGGGTTTCCTCCTGCAGAAGCCTTGCAGCCAGGCCCTTTCTGCCTCGTCTCACTCCCCTCGTGTGCAAGGTGGCAGGTCCAGCAGGGTGAGAAATCTGCAGCCTGGGAAGGGCAGTGGGTTTACAGCTCTGAGCCCCTGGCAGGTGCCCCGTGGCCGGAGGGCTGGGGACCAGGCCATGCTGTAGACATGCGGGTGTGCTCTGCTGCAGCCCTGGTGTGGGGCAGAGCTGGCCTGACTGTATTGGGCCCTTGGAGGAGGGGCTGGTTCTGGAGTTTTCCTGCCCTGCCCCTTGCTGGTAGGTGTGCAGTAGTGATCACGGCATGGGCCACATGGTGTTTATGGCCGAGCTGTTCCCTCTGCCTGGGGTCTGGCGACTGTGCTGCATTTACTGCAGCATATGCGACCTCCTGCTTTCACGTTGGGAAGGCAGAAGCCTCGCACGGCCATAAATGCTGGCCCTGCAAAAGTGCATACCTGTTATCTCTGCCTGCCTCCTCTTTTCCTGTTATGTCTGTCCTGGCTGTCTTGTGCTCTGCTGCGGAAGACCCATACATAAGTGTTTTTTCTCTGGACTTCTGCAGTATTTCTCCTCTCCCATGTGCCTGTTAAGCATGCCAACCAGCCAGCTCTTTGGGGAAGGATTTGCATGAATTCACTCATTGCCCATGGGTCTGCTGGGGGAGGTGGGAGTGTGGCACGGCTGCTGTGGGTGTGCAACCATGTAACTCCTGGGGACTCGCTGGTGTAAGTGATGACTGAATTTTTTCCCCATCAGAGCGACAGTGTTGATTTCTCACTGTTTAAGCCAGATCATGTCTGATGCACCGGCAGGGAAGTGCTGCTTGTCCCACACCCTGGCAGGGCCTGGCACTAACTGTTCCCTTTGGCTTTACTCACAGGGCTCTGCAAAGGCAGAGCGGGTGTTGAGCCTCTGGGAGACTTGATGTGATGGCTGTAGCTGGCAGTGATGAATTGCGTGATGAGGGCAGTTGCTTGGTTTGCTCCACCATGCCTGAACCTCTAGCAAGTAAGAATGGTAAGTCCTTAAAGTAACTCGATCACTGGTTTAAATTAAATAAAAAAAGGGCACGGGGGGAAATATCTTTCTGCCAGGGAGTTGCTTCCAAAAGTCTTTGTCCCTGGAGACTTGACTGACATGTAAATTTGAGCATTAGCCTAGATACTGTTGAGGTGAAAGCACAGAGGTTTTCCTCATGCAGAAGCATTGCAACAAGGTCCTTTGTGCCTTGTGTTACTCCTGTTCCAGCATGTCCAAAGTGGCAAGTGTGGCTAGTGAACAGGAACCAGCAGGGCAAGGAATCTGCAGGCTGCACCACTGTGGGCTGAGCCGGAGCCAGCATGGTGGTTTGCAGCTCTGTCCTGTTTGTTTTCCTGATGTATTGTGTTCAGAGAGCTCATTTTAAGGACACCCTGCATGGAGGCATGTGGGTGATCCGCTGCTGAGAGCAGCTGCCCCAATAAGGGACAGGAATCATCCTGGCTGAAGTGTGTCCCTTTGGAAGAGGGAGTTGAGTCTTTTCTGCCCTGCCCCTTGCTAGGGGATTGCAGATGTTCAGTGGTGGCCATGTGCGTGCATGGCTTTGCCACTTGCTCTGCCATAAATTCACTCAGTCCCTGTGGATTTGCTGGGGGAGGTGGGAGTGTGGCATGGCTGCTGTGGGTGTGCAACCATGTAACTCCTGGGGACTCGCTGGTGTAAGTGATGACTGAATTTTTTCCCCATCAGAGCGACAGTGTTGATTTCTCACTGTTTAAGCCAGATCATGTCTGATGCACCAGCAGGGCAGTGCTGCTGTGTTCCACACCCTGGCAGGGCCTGGCACTAACTCTTCCCTTTGGTTTTACTCACAGGGCTCTGCAAAGGCAGAGCAGGTGTTGAGCCTCTGGGAGATGTGATGTGATGGCTGTAGCTGGCAGTGATAAATTGCGTGATGAGGGCAGTTGCCTGGTTTTCCACTATACGTAAGTTTCCTTTTACCATCTTTTCCTGCAGGGATTAATACCTTGTCAGTTGTTATGGACAAGAAGATTTTTCAAATGTAATTGATTGCCTTTTAACATTCAGCTGAAGAGCATCTGTCATGATGACTTCAGACTTTTTTTTCCCCACCAGATTGGCAATGCTGATGCAAACTTCTGTTTTAGCCAGATTGACCGATTCCACGGATGCAAGATGCTTCAGTTCCTCATGTGGCTGTATATTAAGGCTATATGCCCTTGCACCTCTGTTGCAGGGAAACTACATGTATGCTGCATGCTTTGAGGGTGGGCAGCACTGGAGGGTGCTGTCTGCACATACCGTAGTAACACTGATTGTATAACACTATCTGACATGTTTAAAAGACTTGAGGATCAAAAGTGAAAATTCTTGCTTTCAAAAGATCTCAAGTAAATGGTAGAGATCTCTGACAGGTTTCAATTTAACCTTAAGGGCATAAGTATAGCTTTTTTGTTTTGCCCCAGTTAAGCAGTGTTAAAAGAGGTGCGTACGGAGTCAGGGATCTTTTGTTCTTGATCTTTTTTCTTTTTTGGGTTCCCCCCCCCACCCCAAATGGGAGGTTCTCAATGCCTTGGAGAAGTGTGGATGGAAGGCAGCTTCCAGCAATGTGTCTATTCGCAAGAGAGGGATTGCTTTTGGTGTTTGTTTTTCTTCCTTTTTTTATAGAAAATCAATGATGTGACATCATCTGAAAGCTTGGCTGTTTGATTAGGATTTCACTAATGCTCTAGAAAATGTGCTTAATAGAACTTTACTTCATTGGATAAACAGCTATTGTCACTGGTTTCATTCGGTTACAGCCTTGTGTTGCTGTTCAGGTGCCTGTTGTGCAGCTATCATATCTCCAAGGAGGCTGATGTCTCCTTGGTAGCCTGTATCTATGAAGGGCATAAATGTGACCTTTCTATATGGCTCTCTTGAATTCAAAAGGAGTATGAGTGGTCTATGTCAGATGGTGAAGCTGGTAGAGCTGACCAAATATGTTACTATGGCACTCTGCTCAGTCAGCTGCCCCGGGCTTTTTTCAAGTACTACTCTAAAAGGTCCCACAATGCAGTTTTAAGAGTGCATCCTATTTGGAGTGCCTGGCAGTGAAGAAGTTTTTGCTGTTTGCAGAGCAACCCTTGCTGTCTACTTTTGGGGGGGGTGGTGGAATTTGAAAGCTATATATTTGCTGTTTGCAGTAGAGTGGACTGACAAAATGTTGGCTGTTTTCTTGACAGGTTGAGATTTGTCAGAAGTTGTCCTGGGACCTGCTGTGATTTCAGTGTACTAGCAGAAAGCTGTCTTCTGCTAATGATGTCCCTCTCCATGCTGCTGCCTGTGATCCCTTGTCCAAGCTACAGCATTCATATCACCCTGCAACAGCTCTGGTCTTTTCTCAGAGCTAGCAGGAGTGATAAAGTGGTGTCCTGCCAACTTACAGATGGAGGGTCTTGTATGTTTCTTTCCCTTGGTATGATGCATTTAACTGTAACGGATTCTGGAACTTGCTGCATGTTTAATGTCATTGGATGCTTTTGTCTGCAAGGGCTGCATTCACCACCTGACAGCTAATGTTATCCTACCACAGTCCTTAAAAGTAAGGAAGCCTCTCCTTAGAGAGCAATTGTCAAGTATGGGAGGATGGCCTTCTGTGTAAGGAGAGGGGGGATTAAAGTCTTGGCTCTCCCCTGTCATCCAGAAAGTTTTAGAAATGTATCATTGGCAGCCTGTGAAGTGGGGAAGGGGCATCTTGGATGCTGCAGTGCATTGTGTGTTTCTGTACTGTTCAGAGCCTATTTTTAATAAAATCTGAGCACTGGGTGAATTCAGCTGGTGACTGAAATTCTCTTTACATGCCAATTTCTGGACCTCCTAATTGTTTTTGGGAGTTGGATGGCAACAGGGCTTCTGTGTAGTGATTACTTACATTAGCTTGAGGCAGCAGGCAGCTCAGAAAGGGGCATGATCTCACAGCAGTATGGCTTCACATACCCTGAAGTAAAAGTGCTTAGCTGAGACTTGTGGCTGCTGCTGTGCTGCAGGAAACAGCACTAGGGCACAGTTCTCTGTACGTAACAGCTGGGTGCTAAAGGTCGACAACAGGTCTTGTCTTCTGGACTAAAGGGAGAGAGGTGTAGTCTGTACTTTGCCTCTGTTAGAGCAAGGGCTCTCCCTCAGCTTCTCCCTTAGATCCTGTGTGGGGAGCAGCTGGTGTAGAACATAATGCAGTGGGGATTTTAGCTGGCCTGGTAAAAGGTATGGATTAGCATGTTCCCAGGTAAGTCACTGTGGCTTTGCAAATTCTTCCATACATGAGTCTACACTTCCCTACATGAGTCTACACTTTCTCTAAGAAAAGTGACAGCGAAGGTCTGGGAAGGAAGGGAAGCTGATGGCAGCTTCTGTGAGGATTTGAACATTCCCTCATGCAGTGTGTTCAGCTAAATGACTGTGCTTCTGGCTAGAGATTCAGTGAGAGATGTTCATTCAGATCCTGCAGCCTTCTCCTGGATGCTGTTTGGCAAACTTCCAGGTTTGCAGAGCAGCAGAATTAAACATGGATTGTACATATGTGCTGGAGTAGGGAATCACTAAGAGGAAGCTAAAGGCTTTCCTAATAACAGCGAGAGGTAGTCAAGAGCCCTAGGATGTATTGCTTCCTGTACCTCTGACTTTCATATCCCAGATCAATTGACTGCACACATCTGGCCTCAGTAGGGGTAAAAAATCTGTGTCAGTGCACCTGTGCTGTGCAGATGTCTGCGCTCCTAGAGGGGTTGAATGGTGGCGAGTGCTCTGCACAGAGGGAGAAAGCGTTCTGCATCTGCTGTGCCCATTAGCCTGGCAGTCGGGAGTGGTGTCTGCATGATGCACAAACAGGCCTTGGCAGATGTCTCATGCAGGTCCTGGTCTGGTAGCAATTGTTCCCCCCCACTGGCAATGCAGATGAAGTAAATAGCCCCTTCAGATCAAGCTGATATGAAGAATTGGGATATATATTAACCTGCGGTGTCTCAGACAGCAGGTTCAGATTCAAACCCCAGGCCTAATGATGGAAGTAGCTATTCCCAATGTGCTGCTGTTGGGAAGTAGTGTAGCAGCAGGTATGTGCATTAGGGATGGGGTTAAAAACCAATCCCCCTGCAGCCTCACTAGGTTCCTGAGGAGCAGGACCACCTGGCAGCTGTTGAAGGTTCCTGTGTTGCCAGTTCTGGGCCTTTGGAAGCCTTTAACTGATGGGTTATACATGCTAAATACCAACTGAGGGGCTGCTGCCTGAAAGCAGCTGGGTGCACGTGCGCAGTGGTGGCAGTGAGCTGGCTAGCCCAACAGTGACAATTCAGCCTGAAGTAGCTGAAGGGCAAAAGTGAGGTGTGGATATCAGGCTGAGGAAGTGTTTAAGGAATGATTTCCTGCAGCATTTGAAGTATTGCAGTGTTATTTTTACTGCCTGATAGCAACAGCCTAATACTCTTATGGATTGGAAGTTATTTACAGCAACTACAAGTTTAGAGGGTATTTCTGCTACTTAAAAGCATAAATAACAGTTTCAGTGGTTATGGGGGAGAGGATTTGGTATCTGAGCTGACAGTGGCCTTTGGCATGTGTGTTTAGTAGGAGACAGCAATGATGGAAAAGTAGCTATTAATCAGCATTTAAAGCAGTCTGCCATTAAACAGGATAGAGATTTTTCTCATTCAATTAACGTAAGCAGCATAATCTCCTGAAACAACATATTGATGAGGGATCAGAACTGCTGCTAACATGATTACTTTCATAATCTAATGAGCAAGCATACTTTAGGGAGTAGAGTGTGCTGGTTGCCCAGTGGGAACTGTGAGGACAGATGTAGCTGGAACATGTTTTATTATCTCTCCAAGAAAAGTTGCTTAGGTCAGGATTCAAGCGCTGCTGCTATTGGATATGTGCATAGGGATGGAAGACAAAACTGTCTGAAGGTAACTGATCCACTGTAAACAACTCATGAATGCTCTCTAATCTGGATGTGGGGCTAATTAGCTGGAGAAACC